ATATAACTATTAATAATAATAACGCACACACTTACAGCCCCGCAATAGGGAAACCCTGTGTCGAGGATGGCATCGACACACACATAGACAATCACAAATTACACCCAAACTTACGAGAGAAATAAATGTAGGCCATACAAATATTTCTCCCGGCTCGGGAGTGGAACCGGGGATCTCTGCGTGGCAGTTCAGCATGGCAACCGTTCAGCCACGGAGACAGTTAGTTTTTTTTTATAAATATCACATGCGTTGCTGTGATTCCAAAGTAAATAACTAAAGCACTTGTGTTTTGGAAATCCGAAACAACGTCGGTTACCATCTAGAGTCTATTTATCTATATATTTTTTCGTTTTTACTTCACTTCCACTGCGGCCACCCTATAAAATGTATACAATGTTATAATAAATCACTATCCATATATTTACACGTAACTAAACATTGTACTTTGCATTATTTGGTCTAAGGTGTTTTGTATCTAAGTACAGTCGAGAGCACATCAAGCCAAACACTTTAGATTTTGGGCTACACTAATCATAAGCAGTATAGAGTTGAAGTTCAATCGTGACGTGCTCTTGATCTTGTACACAAAGTTTTATGATAATTATACTTAAGGTGAGTCCATATTACAAAGTCCTAAAGACTCACAACGCCAATCGAAAGAATTCGATTACATCGCCTTCAACAATTTCGTCTATCACAGACCTAATCGATGTTATATAGCGGTAGTGAAATTTTATATACTTGGGAAGAAATAGCCCTGAGTACCGCTTTTTTAACGTTACTATGTTGGTGTTTGTTATTGTGTTACGATTTCGACGAACAAAATATTAGCCTCAAACGTGTGTATTATGGATTTTTGTTTTGCAATCTATGAATGGTGTAATAACGCCACATCTGCAAAACGACAACTTTTCAAGATAATTCTTTAAAGATTTTTCTTTTTTTTATTATTCTAAGTGATGGGTAGAACTAGTCGTGCGCCTGATGGTAAACGACACGCCTGTCCTTAACAGTTGCAGTGCCACTCAGAGCTTTAAATTGCAAACATCTGAGGTGCACTGCCTCTGCGCCCATCACCCTGAGACATAAGTTGAAAAGTCCCATGTTTTCACCAGTATCCTTACCCTTCAAAACGGAATGCAGTCAATGCTCTCAATTACTGCTTGGCGGCTGAAATAGGCAAGGTGGCAGTACTTCCCTTGATAAACTTTTTCACAAGGAGCTCTACTGCTACTGAATTTTCGAACTGAAGTTTCGATTGATCGTAGGAAAGTCGATAACTTATTTTTACTTAAATAATAGAGTTCAAAATGTCACAGATACATAATATGTTTCATAATAGTTCGTATTATTATTATGAATTACATGTGATAAAAGGACTTTTGACGTATAATCATATTATGTCTTTATTATACCAAGAGACATTATGCTACATATTTATGGCGATATTACACGTGGAAAACTGTTTGTGCTATTTAAGGATTTTTAGGTTGATTTAGATCGTTGATCGATATGATTGTAAATTTTGTACAGTGTTATTTTTAAAATACTGACAACTTTACAGAACAATATTTCTAACATTACATGGAACAACTTGTGTTCATGACTTTTAATATATACTTTTAATAGACTTTTAATATTCATCAGATTTTACTTTCATACAAAAATAAACACATTTAAATGAATCGCTTTAAACGGTAATAACTCTGTGCAGTACGGAGGTGGGAGACGTCGCTGAGGACGCTTGCACTTATGAACTTATTCTGCCAAATACAGATTCTTAAACAAAAACTTAATAAAAATGTCTTAAAAAGTCATGGAACAAAAGTTGTTGTTCATGATGTTAGTAATATAGTCCTGCGTGGTCGTTAGTTTTTTTAAAAATAACCCTGTATACATATCATTCTCTACGTCAGTCGTGAAACTGTATCAATTTTAACTTTAATTAATTTGTGCCCTTGATATATTGTGGAGAGCATGCTCAAGAAATAAAAGTCCGCATCAAAATGGCTCGTTCAAATTTCATCAAAATGAATAGAGTGCTGTGTGATATGAACTGGAGCCTCAGCATTGCACGATGTTATGTCTTCTCAGTCCTACGATTTGGCGTAGAAATTTGGACTCTTAAACTTTCTCAAACTTGGACCACAACAAGGAAGCTGGAGGCTTTGAGATGTGGATTTACCACCATATTTTGAGAATCTCGTGACATCACTTGGCTACAAATACAGAAGTACTCAATAAACTGAAGAAACAAGTGGAGCTTACGAACTCCATTAAGGATGCAAGAATATGTCGTACTTCGGCCACGTCGTGAGGAACAATAAATACAATTTACTCCAGCTCATCATCCAAGGCCAAATCGGTGGAAAACGAAGTGTTAGTAGAAGATGACACTGATTGAAAATGTTGAGGAAATGGTTCGGCTACAGTACCACCTCACTCTTTAAAGCAGCAGCGTCTAAAGTCAGGATTGCCATGATGTTGTCCAACCTCTTATATTAGAGGAACCCTGAAAAGAGACCCTTGATATACAAAAGATCATATGAGATAAGATCATACGTCAAAAGTGTTTTTATTACGTGAAAGTCATAAAAACAATACGAACTACTTCAAACAACGTATGTATATTATGTAAAATTTTGTAGCTCTACAATGTATGCACATAAAAGTTATCGAATAATTTCGTTCATAAAATCTTTAATCCTGTCTCCTGAAAAGTAGCCAATTACAAATGCGGCCTTATTACACATTATGTATACCTAAGTAAATTTTAATTTAATATTATCAATGACATGCAAACACAATTATATATGATAATAAATAATGATTGGTCGCTTGCACAGTAAACTAAAATAATATTAACATAATAATAAAGCCAATCCTATCACACCAATTACCTAGTCTCAAACTAGGGAATCCAATGTTTTATGAGTAATAGAGCAATGAAATCAAATCCGACGCCCTACCCCGTAGAACACCCAGATCAGAACCGATTTAGAAAAGTTTCTATCCCAAATTTGTCCCACCGAGAATCTAACTTAGACCTTGTCATTTTTCTTTTTTTATGACACCAAGTGACACGTGTGCAGTGTCGCTCAGAGCTATAAGCCGCAAATTTCTGAGGGGCATTACCACTACGCCCTGAGACATAAGTTGATAAGTCCTAAGTGCGTGCAATTTCACCAGTACCCTTACCCTTCTAAGCCGAAACGCTGTAATGCTCTCATTACTGCTTGGCGTGGCAGAAATAGGTAAAGCAGTACATCTCTGAACGAACCCTTTCACTAGGCGCTCTACTGTTACTAAAATCCAATAGAGTACACACAAATACTAAATGCTACATGTTTCAAACAACACATATCGTTAACTTGCAAATATATCGTATATGTTGTGAATTTAGTAACTTAGCCATCAATTTTGAAAACCCAAGAAGTCAATATGTGCTAAACTTTCAATCAGCAATCCCAGCAATCCGTTGAACCGATTGTCCTCTACGTCTGGTAATTGATCTGAGGATTAATCGATTGATTAATCGCATACATACATCTATGCCAAACCAACTTCATTACAGGACGTTTTAATGTAAAATAACTCCTATTCCAAAACTTATAAAGTCTGTATTCATGGCACATAAAGCTTGGTGTTGTTGGATGGCACGCAATAGATATTTCGTGTAGCGAAACGATGTTTTAGGTTTCTGTGTATTATTTAAATCATGACGGACGAGTAACGGACCTTATGCTAAAATATTGAAATTTACTTTGCAATATTAGAATGTTGTCAGGAAAACAATATTAGGCTGAATTTTAAACAACAAAAATAATCATACGACTTTGTACTGTATAAGCTTTTAGAATAAACCAAGCAAAATTTGTAAAGAAAATAAATAAATCATTATTATTGTAATTAAACTACTTAAATGTTGTTTTGTAAAACTACTACCACTTATTTAAGTACAATAATAATACATTCGATTGAAATCAATGTTACAAGTACACATAACTTCCCAGAAATCAATTTGTTGAAAAACTTGTTTGATTTCAATTATACCCAGAAATTGTGAGACCAACGTAATTTAACTTGCTAACCAAAATTGATAGGTCTTTAATAATTGAAAACCTAATGAAGGTACGCGGACTTTTAATTAAATTTTGTTGACTGAAATGTTTAATTACAAGAGTCGCTACAAATGTGAGGTATTAGTTGTTTTGTTTTGTTAAATTGCTACAGTATAGTTTAATAAAATTGGCTTATTTGGAGCAGTTTTGTGGTATACATAGAGCCATGACCGCCGACTTGTATAAGCAATTTTTTTTTTATTTTAGTGTAACCTTCAGAATCAATGTTCAAAAATCATAACATAAGCGAAGCGACTCCACTTTTTATCATAAGTGACATAGTACATTACAATGTCGTTTACTATAAACAAAGTAGCAAAAATAGTTGGTAATGACTCGATGTAACTACATTATATTGGAAATAAGATTTGACTTTACTTACACAAATACAAATTTTAAAACCAAATAACATTCAGACTGCTGGAACATTCTCAAACTAATTATTGTCTGATATGTATACAAGGCGTTTAATAAAGGAAATAGAATTTTTTTTACTTTTAACTCATCCGCTCTCAAATTAGAAATTCCATGATTTAATTCAAAAACATCTTACTAAAGCATCGCGCCCTGAAGCAACATGTCTAAAAGGTTTTATCTATAATTATTATGACATACATAAATATATCGTTTGTTTCAACCTCATAATTTCTAACATTGAGTGTAATTAAACTGTTTTCAATAGTAAACTCTACATGCTTTGTGGCCAACGGGACTGATATTCAACAAGTGTTAATAGAATTAACAATATAATATAGAGAAACTGACCGCACCGATACATTGGCGAATATCCGTGAAATACAGTATTTGTCTAAACAACCGAACATATTATATCAAACATCCCTCCATCGATGTCACTTCGCACCTGCCAGCATTCTCGCCCGAACCGCCGAGTGGAGCGGACGCGTCCTTAGCTGCCTCTACTTGAGTGAACCAACTCCACTCTACTCACGTGATCGCGAGTGAATATAAATTTCCAAGGTATTTATTTGTGTTGATGTTCTAATTCCGTGATTTATGTTTGGACGCTTTTTTTCGAGTGCGGAAAGATTCCACCCCCGGGACATGACGCCGATGGAATACAAAATATGTGAGGACCTTTTTCTATTATGTTAATAGGATTTTGTTTTTTTTTTGGGTCAAAATTGGGTTTGGTTCGTTAATGTTGTTTTGGCTGAATAAAAAGTCACCCGGATTTTATTACCATTGCCGTTTAGTTTCGTGGTTTGGTTTTAAATTTTGGAAACACTGTAATTTGCGTAATTTCATTTTGTGTTTCCTGCAATCGCCTGCTTGATTTGAACTGCTTTAAAAGGCAATTCTATTACTGCCTTTTCCAGTGACTGTTTGCAAAATGATTACAGTGCGTAGGCCTTTTCGTAGCCATTGCTACGCAGTAAAGGCTACGAGATCTTAGATTGATACAAAAGTTTTATAGCTTTTAGCGCAATGGGTTTAATTTTGGTTTTAGAGCAACGTGTTCAACTTGAGTTTACTTTTGTAAGTGTGTAAAATATATTGTATTTGTATATTAAGTAATACATATTAATTATGGTTTTTAAAGTCAAGAAAGATAATACGTCAATGTTTATAAGTCTTCATCAATCTTAACAATGTTGAGTAATATTTTACTGCTATAAGAATAACGAAAAATTCCCTTTGAATTTATCAGATATTTAGTAAAATATTCGATTGTTGAAAAATACTTTTATGAACAAAATTGTATTTCTGGCATATTTTGTTAGTACGCAGCTTTTGTTCCGGAATTTCAACGATCCATTTTATTTGTCTTCTATTATATACAAGGAATGACAGAGACGAACAATTAGGACGAAAATAACTATGTTAAAAATTTCTCACAACACAATTCTGATCTAATCTGGAAATTAATTTAGTTCTTCGCATTTCTATAATGTGAATAAAATCATTTTTATGTTATCATTACAATAATAGTGTAATAATATTTTAGGTGATTGGTATTATTTTTCTTACGAGATTATCAAGATACCAGAAAAAAAAACAACAAAAATGTTAATGATACTCTGTACGAGGCGTTGTTGTTGCTATGCAGCAAACCTTCACAAGCAACCTAGGAGTTGCAAGATGAACTGAAAAATAATAAAATACAGAACAGTGCAATAATTGCTATATACGAACCTAATTACAACAAAACACGTAAATTAAAATAAAATGAATATATATTAAAAAAATTGTGATGTAACCCTAAACTTATTTAGAATCATTTATTTCCTATAAAATATAGCAAAGATGAGAAAAAAATGTAAAAGTGATTATGATCATAAAAATTTAGTGCATAAGTTTGCGGCGAGAACTTTGGTCACAAATTCTGATTATTTGCGACCACATATCGATGTACACGTCTTTTGTAGTGACGGGTAATTTTTCTCAAACGTTTCTAAACACAGAACAATATTTTTTTGCAATTATTATGTCTAGTACATATACACCCAAGCTTGACACTTTTTAAGTTTAGTATCTGAATTGAACTTGGCTAGACTAGACTAGACACATTCAAAATTCGTTTTTGCATTCCACAATCCTGTGTAAGTTGTAATAGAGTATAAAGATCGCATCATGTCATTGTATCCTTTCGTGACCAAAAAAGTATAAAAAAAGAGTAAGTTAGCTGTTTACAACTGTACTTCGACGTTTTAAGTTTTCGTTCAGGAATAAATAATATAGTAACATTCATTTATTAATAAACCTTTTACTTTTTTTAAAGATATTTATTATGTCTAGTTGTAAGCCGCCTCCATCGATTTAGTCTTCAAAAGTGACGGTACGAAGTAAGCAATCTTGTAATACGTAATGTTCTTTCTTAAGAGTCTCTACCACCTCAAATGGCTCTGTTTGATTCCGCATAAGTGAAAGTGAATCAATCGATTTGGACAAAAGATAGAAAAGAAGAAATTGAAGATAGAAGATATACTGTCGTTAGTATATTATTGTATACCAACGATTTTTTTTATATCAACTGAACTACATGGAATATGTTACAGTACACAATATACATTTTTCATTTCCTTTGTAAAAAAAATAATTCTGATATAAAACCAGTTTTCCTGCCTCTCGGCTCGAGCAAAATGAACCATTAGTACGGGAAAAATTTTAATTCAAGCTGAGGTAGTATCGATTTTCAAGTTTAAACTTCGAAACCGTTTGAATACAATAATTACTAGCCGGTGTTACTGCGTAGAATATATACTATACAAATTTTCATACTTTTATTGGTTATACGTACAAACTTTCATCCCCTATTTCAATCTCTTTAAGATTAATTTTTGTGATAAAAAGTAGCATATAACCTTCTCCTAGGTCCCATCTATATCTATACCAAAATTCATCAAAATTGGCTCAGCTGTTTAGGCGTGAAAACATAACAGACAGGCAAAGTTATTTATGGCATTTATAACATTATAATTTTTTGTTAATAATAATAACGCACACGCTTAACATAATCCCGCACTAGAGAAACCCTGTGTGTGAGTGCCATGGGCACACACATAACCACAAATTACACCTACACTCACGAGATAAGTAAATATAGGCCATACGAGTATTTCTCCCGGCCCGGGAATCGAACGTGAGACCTCGGCGTGGCAGTCTAATAACGGCCTCCGTGGCCGTTATTAGATTGAATTGAGAAATTCTTTCATCCGGTACAACGTTACTTCAAATATTAACCTTGTATTTAAAATGCCAAGGCAAACTTTTGATTGCGACAGCGAATTGAGGAGCTAGAGTGTCAAACATGCATTAGAATGGGGAATAGCAACTTCCATAACCCTAATTACTCCGAAGCCAGATTTTTTCCAAAATGAATACTATACCGTAATTATTGAATCTTATGAAAAAAGTATATAAATCAGACAACGTAATGATATGCCAACGAAGACATGTAATATCAACACAATATTATTAATTTTGATGACCTCGATAACCCATTGCCTTCTGAACACTGGATGAGGAAGTTTAGTCCCGGGTTCAATTCGCGGTAGGACCAATTGAGAAATTAACTTTTTTAAATTGTTTATAGTTTGGGTGTTCTGGATAGTGGTCGGGAGTGAACTTCATTACTCTAGTTCTCATAGTAAAAGGATTTCTCTAGTTTGATTTGGTGTGGTTCTCTCACATTACTATTGTTATAATAAGATAAAATGCAATTGGTTTTATTGCGATATTTCATTTCATGTAAGTATAAAACATCTAATAAAATGTAAAGTACATAAAATTTATGGAAAGTGGATCCTTCTACCACTTTGCATACGTTGTGTACAACAACGGTAACATGATTGTTTAGAAAGTCTTGTGACTTCATCGAATCATAATTTGGTTTTTGGCTAGAATAATCACGCGACAATAGGGGCCTATATACGATTCGTCGATTTTGTCAGTTTAGATGTTCTGCAGGAGTTTTTAAACACTCTTCCATCGCTCATTTGTGAACCGATTTTGGTAATTCTTTTTTGTTGGAAAGAGTCCTCAATAGTAGTCCCATTCTAAGGATAGCAAGCAGGGAATGAATCCAGTCGCGTACTTTCCGGTAACCGATTTCAATTTCACGACGATTTTACTCTGTACTGAGATTATGATAATGTGAGAGACATGAGCAGCGTAAGGGAATGGTGGCCTTTGCCCTGCAGTTGGATAATAACTACTGAAGAATGAGTGAAGAGTCATTAATCTTCCATTAATTTCTGCTCTATCCTTTGCTAAGATGTCGTCGCGCTAACTGGTTGATGGTTAGCTAATGTGTTTTCCCTGTCCGTTGTTATTATTTTCGTTTGCGGCTTCCATTTTAAAATTGCGATCTACTTTGTGGTGTCGGTCAAATATATTATTATGTAAAATTAATTTTACTAATAATCGATCTCAGGTCTTTCACATTATGCTCAGCGTTATGAATTGCCTAAGTTTTGAAATCACCGTTAAAAGGTGAGCAATGACATGTTAATATCTTAACAATATTCAAATTAAAAATTGAAAACATTTTTCTTCCTTAAGTATAAACTGATTAAACTCTACTATTCATTGGTACGACGCATTCCTCTTAAAATAAAGGGGCCTAAATATTTGCTTCATTTTTTTATAGTCATTTTCTCGCTCGATAAGGTGTGTTTTTACCAGTAGATGGCTACAGATTTCCTCGATTCAGTCGTTTGTTAGAGATCGATAAACATAAAGGCTAAAATCGAACAAATTTGTAAGCACTCACGTTTAATTTAAAATCCACAACGTTCGATCGCGAAAAAATACGATTTCGATCATCTGTTGCTTACACGTTTACCCGATGTTGTCTAATCTCTAAAAAAATCGAGCAAATCTTTAAACACCTTAAAAGATTCCAGCTATTGCTGTATCCAAATAGATATATGAAATATTGTACCGTTTATAATAATTATTTAAAAATATTAGAGATAAATTTGTAGCACCTGCGATATATTTTATGCTGCTTTTCAAAAATAATAGCTCAGTAGAAAATTGATCCTTTTTTGACTTATTATTGAGATTTATTCAGAAAATGCCAAATTTTATTGTGATTTACTTCCAAGCTTTGCATTGGTTAGAATAATCACAATATGACAACATTGTGATGGTCTACGATTCGTCAACTTTGGCCGGCAGACGCTTCTCTGTTGTTTTCTTGATAAATTGGATGCACTTGAGATAGGCCATTATTCTAGAATTACATCGATATGCTATTATTTAGTCTACAATTCGTCTAATTTCACATCGCTATATTGATACATTTATTATATTGAGATACAACTAAATATCATAGTGATGAAACATCCTGACATTCAATAATTACAGCGACATTCTAAAAACTTAATTACAATGATTACAGCGACATCTCTAGTCAGCTGTTGGTAGCTGTAAAGAAATAGATGGCAAAAAAGTCGTTAAAAAACCAAAACTAACATCCGCAAACAAACACAGAAAATTTCGTAACGTCCGATGATTCGAACTGTGGTTTAGTTGGCATAGCGTCTGGCACGGTTTGCTTGAAGACGTTGGTTAGAACTTAACCCGATCGAATGATTTTTTTCTAAGTGCTCGAGCTTTGTA